TGGGTGGACGAGCTCACAGCCCACCTGGTGTTAAGTGGTTACTGGAGCCCATAGACATCTACAACGTAAATGCGCCACCCACCTTGAGATATAAGTTCTAAGGTCTCAGTATAGTGACAACGGCTACCCCACCCTTCGAACCGAAACGCATTACTGCTTCACGGCGGAAATAGGCGGGGTGGTGGTACCTACCCGTGCGGACTCCCAAGAGGTCCTACCACCAGTGATTACGCAAATTATAATTTTGCGGGTTTGATTTTTATTACACGATGTTATTCCTTCACCGTGGAAGTCAATCGTGAACATTTGTTGAGTACGTATTTCATTAGAAAAATTGGTACCCGCCTGCGGGATTCGAACACCGGTGCATCGCTACACACGAATGCACCGGACGTCTTATCCTTTAGGCCACGACGACTTTTAAATGGCCAATTAGATTACCATCATCCAAAATTTCATTACAATTGGTTTGGTGTCTATGAATTCTGGTTAAATTAAGACAAGCGGTCTAATGCAATTCAAAATGGTACATCTATGACTCTGTTAGGTTCTGCTCTGAAAATATTATCAAGATCACTACGAAAAGAAACCATTACACTTTGATTATGTTGGATTGAATTCGAGATTTTGAAACAAAAAAAAAAAAAAATTGTCTGATTTAACTGGTTCTTGGAACTCGTAGACATTACAAACGTGACCGACACCATCCACCTTGAGACATGAGGTCCGAGCCTCAAATGTATACTGTATTCAAATGTGTACTGTATTCAAATGTGTACTGTATATGTAAATAACCAAACTTTTAATTTTTGATAATTTAATTTTAATGTTATCTTGGAAGTAATTTCCGAACACGCGTCAAGTACGTATATCATTAGAAAGATTGGTACCAGTCTGCGGGCTTTCAATACTGGCACAGTCGCTAACGATGTTCGTCAGAAAAATAGTACTCAAGTTTTACCCAAGATTAAAGGATGTAGCAGTATTGCACTGGAACAAGTTGCCTCTACACGAAAATTCAAGAAACCAAATAGCTTGGACTCGGATAGCCATCCAATTTTATTGTTTTCATAAAGAATTTGGAATCCTTTGAAACATATTCTTACCTATACTATCAACGCTTTCAGATTCCTTGGTGCTGGTTAGTGGTATATTCAAGGTCTCGTCCTGTTGCCGCTTGTCTTTCTCACTTTTACCTGAGATAGATTAATGTATCTTTAATTCTTTATCTTGGTAAGTTATTGTATGTGTAATGGCTGATTGGGTCTTTATCGACTGCTAGTTTTTCATTGCCAAAATTAATAGGAAGGATAGCGATAATAGATTATTTGCATGTAATTATAATTATCCGGGAAAATTCACATACGATAGTTTGGCCCGTAACAAGGATTTCCTGTACTATGAGAAACAGACGTACGTATATAGGTTCAAATATATACATAGATATTCAATAGAGATACAGAACAAAAAAAACTTGTTCATAACACGAATGTTTGTCCGAAATGGGAATTGAACAATATTGCAATATCTCTGCTTAAAATTTTAGAAGGAATTAGTTGAAAGCACAGACTTTGGTAGAACATTAAGAAAAAGGACAAGTCAACAGAGAGTTATACGGTTTTGTTATCGGTATTCATTATGAACGTATTAAGTATAGGGTAGTGTTAACAATAATTGCCAATTTGCGTTAACTATCGGGGATCAAAATAATGTGGTTAATTTAAAAATACAGATTCCATTAGGCTGTGTTCATATCGTGATGAAAGTAGAAGGTCAACTAATTTGTTCCGGACCTTAATAGTTTTGAACAACATTTTCACATAAGTTAGAAGTACATTTAGAAATCTAGCAACCACATCGGAGGAAATATACTCTAAAAGATTCAGCCCTGGGTTCTTTGTCGTATTATGGAGGAGATTAGCTTCCCAACGAGATTTGGTAAGAAATGGAGAGATAGAAAGCATCTATAAATTTCTAATTATTAACCCGAGAGAATTTATAAGATTCACTCTTCCATTTTTTTATCTCTACAACCATTTTCTTTTACACGTATCCCGAAGTATTTCTCCCGAACTTTTAATTGTGCAACACTTGTTCAATTTTAAACTATTGCACCGGTTCCAAAAATGACCAGAGTCAATCTAAATAGAAAAAAAAATTTAAGATCTTCAAAAACCAATGTTTTAAAGTGTTTTAAAACCATCAAAAAATTATACAATTGTGTTTAATAAATTGAAACTAACAATAAGAATGATTCGAGCGAATATGGCTTCCAATCTTCAGACTTACCTTCCTTCTTCTGACAGTATCGGCAGCAGAACACCGCGGCTGACAAAGCCGTCATCGCAGCGATCAGACCTACCGCCGCTAATACTATTATCAATACTGTGGTAAGTTCAACTTTAACTGGTACTTGTGCTGAAAAAAATGGGCCGATCAATCATTGTGCCCATAAGGCGATTCGTTTTCGATACAAGTCATCATCTTCAGTCTTTTTAGGGGCATAAATGGGCACATTAAATCCCACCAACTGAAATAGCCTCTCCACGGTTAATTACTTTCCCTTGAAACTGAAGTCTTTCATGGAGGAAATGCCCATAATCTTCACGCTGGACAGGCGTGTTGGAAAACGCAGAGACACAGCTCTTTTTGTGAATGAGGAGAGCCGAAGACCGAGCTTAGTAGTGTGGATTGGGAGAGGCCTATGTCCAGCAGTAGACGACTGTGAGCTGATGATGATGATGAAGCTGGAGTGTATGGTATCGTAATAGACGGAACGATAGGAGGTAAGATTTTTGGGTATGCAAGGCTCTAGAGACTTGCTTTGCCTATTTCTGCCGAGAAATAATCAAATATTTCGGTTCGAGAGGTAGGACAGTGGCTAATCTTACAATATAGACTTACAATAGGTACAATAGCTGTGTACCTCCTCCTTAAGTCTTGTTCCTCAGTGCTGAGGAGTACTTTGGTTTGGACTATGTTCAACCTAGCTGTGTACAATAGCGACAATAGCCTTTCGTATTGGAGCTTATGATAGGTTGCGGTTGATCTATTCTAGTTGGGAGGTCAGTATGGTTGAGAGGGTAATTTTGAGGTCATTATGACAAGTCACCTCATCAGAGCCTGTTACCAGGGCTCTGAAACTGCGATACTTTAAGACAAATATTTTTTGTATGGAAACTAGCGACATCTTGTAGCTGATACCCCTAAACTTATATGTTGTTAAAGTTAAGGCATTTAATTATTGTATCCGGGGGCCGGAGGAGGGCGTTTGTCCAGCTCCAGCCCCTATGAGGAGGCAGTCTCCTCCCGGTGATGGTCACGGGGCGACCTAAGGGGGTTGAGGCTGCGCCGCACGCTACCGTCACTCTAGCGCGCTGGCACCAGGAGGACGGGACGGCGCGTCGGCGGCTGCGGACTGCGATGCGGTCCGCATTTTCGTCGTCGCTGTCGTCGCCGAACATACTGTTGAAGAGCAACCCGGTCGGCGGTGTATCGCGTTCCGACCCGGCAGGCTGGTTCTGGCCCAGCGGGGTATCCCGGAACACCAGCGGCACCGCCCGGGCGGCCTGGTAGGGCCGCCGTACCGCGGAGACCGACGTCGTTGGTCGTCGACTATCGCCTCGACGACCCGTCGGTCGGGCGTCCTCGGGGTGGCGCCGCGTGTCTGGTTGTAGTGTTGACCGCGGGAACCCCCCTACTCTGAACGGGTTCTGACCCCGGACGGAGATCGGACGTCGGGTGTAAGAGTGCAGGGGAGTCGTTTAGTGGGTGGGCCCTAAAATCCTTGGGCCCGCGATCTGCTCTCAACACCTGCAGATCGTTGAGTCTCACATACCCCGCGCGCCCCCTAGGCGCGGGGACCTCGTAGGAGGTTCGGCCCCCGGCCCGGAAAAAAAAAAAAAAAAAAATTTAATTATTGTATAACTAAACACAGAACATAAAAAAATAATAAATCATACAAGTCTTTATTTGTTATAGACAAATTGATTAAATTTTATCAATTTGTGGTCTCTGAAAATTTACAAAATCCTTCATTAAAACTAAAATATAGGATAGTTAATATTTTAGTGCCATTTACAAGAGGAATGAGAAACTAATCGAAGCGAAGCCATCTAGTGGCCGACTCCCGTAAAAAATTTTTTTAAGCACTTGAGTTGCTTATCTGTAATTAGTTTATGTGTATTATCTATGCCTGTTGCGAAAAAATGTCATTGTGAAAATACTTTGCTAACCCGTATGTCTTTGTGGGTACTTCAGTAAGTTCGAACTCAACGACAATGGCTCGCTAGATCCTTTTCGATTAAACGCTTTTATGGCAACTCCTAAAGCGTTGCCGGCTGGCAACCCCGACACCTCGAATTCTGGTTCTTCCCCCGTCATATTGCGGAGTAGTAAGCCGGTTGCCATGTCGAATATCTGTTGAAAATAATAAAAAATTTAAACACTGTTTCGTAGCGAAGATTTGAAAATTATTTAATAGTAATTTAATAAGAAATTAGTATTTTACTTACTTGTAACAGAAAGTATTGTCGCAGGCCACCGTCGTGTCCCGGCGTGCAGTTCAGTGTCAAAGAGTCGTATGTTACATTCGTGATTTCGCATGCTTTAGGTGCCGATGGTTTGTCTATGGAGAAACATTATCTCTATATATAAAAATGAATTGCTGTTCGTTAGTCTCACTAAAACTCGAGAACGGCTGAACCGATTTGGCTAATTTTGGTCTTGAATTATTTGTGGAAGTCCAGAAAAGGTTAAATGGTAGATAAATATGAAAATGCTTGGAATTAAATAAAAATAACAATTTTGTTTTTCCTTTGATGTGTCCCCCGTCGGACGGATTCCTTTTGTTTTTTTTAAGTTTATTTGATACAAAAGTTTAGATCTTTTATTTATCGATTGAGGCACTACAAAGTCTGCCGTGTCAGCTAGTTATTAATAAAATTTTACTGTCACCGGCTTTTAGATGCGCTTCAGCGAGCAAAGTCTGTGTTTATAATGAATGCTGATATCTCACTTACCAGCTGGAAGTATGTGGAATAGACATGGCTTCGCCTGTCCTCCCACCATGTTAGATCCTGAGCATTGAACCCAGCCGTAGTCCGAAGACGTGTTTACCATGTAGAGATACGTTCCTGTGAAACAGTACAGTACGTCAAGCACGAAAATCTATTGAAAGCTCATTGAACCAAAAGAGACAGCAATTTAAAGATTAGGAAATTTTCTGGTATATTAATGCTCATCATGGCACTCGAATCCCAATATCGATAATTACACCATAATGATAAGATACCAATGTTACGATTCTATGCTGATTCTCTTCACCACTGAAGAAGTACTTCTGAAACCAGAGATGTTGGAAGGTTTTGTACGTACCAGGCAGGTTCTGAGCTGTCGTCATGGCTGTGGTGGAGAGCTCGTGTTTGCTGTGAGCAGAACTGTTGAACCACCAGTGGTATCTTATGGAATCCTGGTAGAGAAAATACCGATAAAATAGTTTTTTTTTATAAACAACATAGCAAAGTCATTGTCATGTCATTTCATCCTGTCCACTGTCCACTGCTGAACATAGGTTTCTCCAACTGAACTCCAGTGCATTTTGACTTTTGGAATGCATCAGACAAAAGGCTTTCGTCGTCGTATGTGACCGAATCATGGGTTGACGGTCCGTCCCCGAAGAACCATGGGTGACTAATCCATTATAGGTCCCAACAGGTTGTGTTAACTGAGACACTACTGGTAGTTTGGCGTAAAGCAATTTACTTTAAAAACAAAAATTGTTTCTCCTACTTAAGCTGGGTAATCAAGGGGCTTATGCCAGCGTAACCGGGCGAGTAGGTGAGCTCACGGGGCTCTAATCTGACGTTGCTAGCACTAGCCCTAGCAAGAGCAGTGCTTTGCAGAAGTCACCACCGGTTCGGAAATGCGACCTACTGAGAAGATCCGGCGAGAGACTCAATGGGCTGTGTTTGTGGGTTAATTTCCTCGCCGAGCCCTTCGTCGCAACCGAAGGGTACGGCGAGGACGATGACCAGTGCTTGCGGTACCTAAAAGTACCGATAGTGGATCGGGAGGATCCGACTGTTTACCACTCGTTCCGCAGGATCGGGTATGCAATTAATTCAAAATATCATTTCCCTTACATATGTTTTGGGAACACACATCGATAGCGCATAATTTTACCACTAACGCCATCTATTGGAGGCGTTCAAATAAATTCACCAGTATTTAAAGTATATGAGGGTAGGTATAGGCTCCTAACTATATCTAACACGATGCAGTCATTCGTCTCGTCGAAACAAATCTAGGAAGAACTTAAGTTCTACGTTCAAGTGAAAATCTTTTATGAATCGCAGATTTAATTATCAATGTTTATCAAAACAATGGATTCCATTAAGCGGGTTAAGAGTTCAAACGCATGTATATAGGTCGGTAGGTAAAACAAATATGGCGTCGAATAGTCTTTGTAATTGCTTTGTGTGTTTATAATTGAAATGGATTTGAATGTGAACCATTATAAACTAGTTCTCGTATATACTTTGAGTTTGGCTTATAACATTACGTTAGGATTGTGGGTATTTGTGGATTGATAAAAATCGGTTTGCGCGCCAAATTTGTTTTTTTTAAACAGTTAGGAGACTAACGAATCTGATTTCAAACAGCCACGTAAATTATTTGTAGTAATCATTAGATTTTTTTTCCAATAAAATGAAGAATAGACAGTAAAATCTATTATAATAAGATTGTTTTATTAATGGTCATAACGGCATTGGCATCACATGTAGAACACTTTTTATATCTGTGTGCTCTTCCACCACTAATGACCTATAATTTTAATTATAACAATTAAATTATCGAAGGTGTATAACCATTAAAGTTACTTTACTGGTGGTAGGACGTCTTGTGACCCGCACTGTTATGTACCACCACATTGCCTATTTTTGCGGTGAAGCAGTAATGCGTTTCGGTTAAAGGTAAGGGCAGTAAAAACTGAAACATTAGAACTCATATCTCAAGATGAGTGGCGGCATAATTTACGTTGTTGATGTCTAAGGACTCAGTAGACTACCGAACTCGTCCAGCCATCTAAGCAATAAAAATAAACTAGATGATAACCGGTTTTTTTTATAACGCCATCTTGTTGTGTCTTTAAAGCGGTTAGTTGCCCTCAATTAAGAAAAATAGTATTATTATTCGCCAATAGGAAGAGTTGATTATTGAAAACACGAATAAAACAACATTTTCTGAAAATAAATCGTAGCTAGATCGATTTATCGCCCCCGAAATCCCCTGTATACAAAATTTTATGAAAATCGTTGGAGCCGTTTCCGAGATTCAGATTATATACATATATATTAATATACAAGAATTGCTCGTTTAAAGGTATAAGATAAGATAACAATGTCTTAACGGGGTCATTTTAAGTGCTTCAGCTCCATCAAACAGTTTAGAGTAAGTAACACTTGATACCTAGTCTTCTTACAAAAACCTTATAAAGCTCGGATAGCTCATGTATGTATGTTTAGTATTATTTTTTACGTCATCCTAATGCCAATGTCCGTGTTACACAATCTTTTTTAAATAGGGCACGAGAATTGTAGAATTTAAAAAAAAGAATCAATTCGGTTAAAGACAGCACCGAAACGCGAATGATCAGAAATGTAACAACGTCTTTTTGTTTCACCGTTTGATTGCATTATGCAAAAAAGAACCAATAACGAAAATGTAAAACAAAAAAAATAAAATAAGAACAAACAATTTTGTTTTTTTTTACTGTGTCGCTGTTAACAATTGGCGGTTTGAATGTGGCGGTTGCAAATTTGCTTCTTACTTAAAAGGGGTATAGGCTTGACAGTCGAATCTAAACTTTATATTACAAAGATAAACGAAACCACGTAATGCCGTATCGAGGGGTCAAGGGCTATTTAAGCGATATTTCGCTTAATACGCGACATTTTTATCTTTGTAATTAAAGGTGCGTTTTATTTGGGTATTACCATCAACAGTTCGATGTTTTTAATACGCTTTTATTAGCTTCAGACGTATGCATGTAACGGAATCTTTGAACCTGATTTTGACGAGCAAAACGTCGGATTAACTCGAAATTTCGCATACTTGTTATGAACCGATGACAGTTCTATATTAAAAAAAAATTGATAAAATTAAAATTCAACTAAAAATATTCAAAATTAATAAAATTTATTTTCTATTTTTTAATTGGATTTTCTACAAAGGCGTATTCTTTTATAGTTTTTTTTTTAAATTATTAATTTTTTTAATTGATCTTCAATTAGCTTTACTCCATTAAAATTTTCAAATTTCCAACTTTAAATGGCTCTCTTGTAAAGTTGTAAAACCATCCCTTATACTAAATAGCCTTCACCGCTCGATACGTACCGAGAAAATGGTGTCGACAATGACAACACAAAAAAACAATTGTGCTTCGTTTTGCTTTAAACCATCCAGTCGAAAAGTACGCAAATGTATTTCCGACGTTAATGAAAGCATCCGTTGAGGCGGAAACTCTGGAAATTGTTACAATTAAAAAAAAATGAATGCCGGTGTGTTTTTGTTACGGAAACAAACCGCGTACCTTTGTTAGTTATTTTAAACGGTTTTCTGCTTTCGACTGAACATCAACGTATTTTTTTTTCTGTTAGACGCATAGATACTGGTGGTATCATTAATGTCAATAAATAAGAAACAATTTTCTATTGGATATATATTTCTGGAATATTAGCGAAAAATATATTTCAGTTAGTCTCTTTTGAGTGTTGCTTTTCGATTCTCAATACCGCTTAGTTGAGATTCAAACTACAAAGTTGCTAAAGATGTTTTCATTTTAGTTTGTAACAGAAGAAAATGCGAATATATTGACTTTGTTGTGAAGACATAAGTCTTAAAAGGACATTAGGGGATTCCCCGGAGAATAGGTAGCAGCGTTTTCTGAGTGATATACGTACTGCGATCGTCAATCGTAGGTTGGTAGGGCACACTGGAAACCCGTACAGGGAATTCCTCATTTTACCCCAAAACAACCATGCGTCCCGATTTAAAGGACGAGACAGCAGTTATACGATAAAAGCTCAAGCTGATGACTGGAAGTTAGTAATTATAATCACGCTGTGATTGTCTATGAGCTTCCGATAACCACTCAATGTCAGCCTCAGTTCTCCGATTGTGGAGAACAACTGTCAAGGCTATAAAAAACAAGGGTTCCACACGACCACGACTGCTCTGCTAAGAGTAATCGACTATGATGATGATGGACCGTGAGATCCAGGCGGTAAATAAATAAAATCTAGAAACATGACTTAATAATAATAATAATAAAGCCTTTTAATTCCGAACTAGACGTATGATGAAATTTAATATTTTTGTGTTTTTTACATTATATTTCCTATATTATATCTCGCAGTTCGGCGTGCCTCGTGGCATAGGCCTCCTCCAGTTCTCTCCATTGGGCTCGGTCCTCTGCAACTCTGGTCCAGTATGGTCCTAGGGTTAGGCGTCGTCACTCCATCTTGTTTTCGGACGCCTCTGTTTTCTGGTGTCCCCTCTTGGATACCATAAATTTACTTGTTTACTCCACTTGTTTTTTTTGCAACGTAGCATATGCCCTGTCCAGCTCCATTTAAGATTTTCTATACGGGTTATTATATCCGTTACTTTTGCCTTCCTTCTTATTTCCAAATTTCGAATTTTGTCACTAACTCTGATACTCAACATGCTTCTATCCATTGCTCTCTCTGTTTTAGCAAGTTTTTCTCTATGTTTGTCAGTTAATATCCATGTCTCACAGCCGTAAGTCATGCAGGGGAAAGTCAGTCAGAAACATGACTTACTAGAGTAGAACTATAAGTTTCTAGTTTGACTGAATTAGAGTTGAGCATTTTGTGAGTTCGCATACCAAATCCAAGTTAATACCCTTCAGTTTCAAGGTATACGGAACATAATGCTTCTTATTACGAGCATGGCGGGCTTTGATAAGATCGTTCCTCTCAAAGAACCTTGCTTAGTGAATGTTTCATCAAAAGTCTTTTTTAAGCCTGCAGCCCCAGCGGGTTAGGTTGACGCCTTTATAGATCAATCAGAACCAAACCATACACGTATACAAATAAGATAAGTAATATGGTTGTTACTTACAGTTTTTCGTGCTTAATAGAACTGTAGGTCGCGTCGTTTCCCGGTAGACCCTAACATTCATGAATAACATAACATGTAATCAATGGTTGGGTTTACCGTCTCGTACATATTTCACGTGAAATGTATAAATATTTGTATACAGGGCGTAGATATTGGAACTGTTCCCGGGGTTAAATAAAATGGGTGGTTCATTGAAGTAGAGTTGCCAAAGACAAGATAGCAATTAAAAACATTGGAAACCTCCAAAAGGCACATCGAAATAAAAGACACCTCATACGGTGGGTGTATTAAAAGATTGAAATCAATAATAACAGTAAATAATTTTTGATGCTGACATAGTTATGATCCTATCCTCATTTAAGTTACGATCTGAGGATGCTCTAGACGATGCACCCCATCTCAAGAAAGACGGTGTTCTGGCAGGCCCTAAATCCAACAATATAGGGACAACTTCTTAAGGTCATCAAAATTTTTTGCTATTAAACTTTGCACAGATAATACTATAGGAATAATTGCTTATAGTCTCCATGCCAGATCAAAATTAAACAGTCATTAAACATTTCGTATGCGTCAGTTTAAGCGGAACTGTCGTTTTCACTTCAGGATTCGGAAGCGGATTCTCTACACCCTGTATAGTGCCAGCGTATAACTAAAGAGTGTCCTGAGGGATGTGATGAGGATTCGTTTGAGTAAGGCTCTTTTCCACGCTTTGGTACAGTATATTAGATTTTATTAAAACAAATAGATGTTTTGGTTCCGGCCGTGCACATGATTAATGATAATGATTGTGTGTTTTGTTCCCAAGAAATTCAACTTTGTCGATTTAAAAATAATAGAGTGCTGTAATTAAATATTAAACGTATATAATTATGAATTTGCGTGATAATTGGTTTTTGCCGCAACTCAGTCTTGTATTCCGTTTGGGAGTAATGAACGGCACTTCGGATACGTTACCTTATGGTGACGATCATTAATTAACACCAGATGAACCGTGAACTCATCTAATTTGGAACTTTACTGATTCCATTATCGTCATCGTAGAGGCGTGCTAATTTTTAATAAAAAAAATTTATATTGCACTACGATCGATTTCACTACTCACCGGTGTTGATCACCAGAGCACGTCGACATCACAATATAAATACCGCCACCCATCTTAAGTTATGATCGAATTCTGAATTCAGTCGCATAACATCTGTTCCAAGTTCAAACTTGATTACGTAACGGCCTTGTATTCGAAACAGGCAATAGGGTAGTTAGTGCCTACAAATTGCCATAACCCCAGCACTGTTAGTCTAATATATCTTTGATTCAAACTTTTTGATAAATTTATCATCATTTATTATTTAGGCGCATTGACATTTGCTTTCGCGAAGAAATCTTTACAGTTTTAGCTCTAAGTCACAATGGATGGGCACTCACTTAATGACCTAAGTTTCGAGATAAGGGCTGAAAAGCGTCATTAAGTAAAACTTAAGTAAATAACTTTTTTGTATCCAAGATGAAATGACAACATCATCTAAATAAGATAAGAAAATCACTCATTAAGTCGAATTAAGATGCGAAGATTGGATTAAAAATGATAATGATGAGACTAGTTCAGTGTGAGTTTCATCAGTTAACTTTCCACTGATGAATTTGAGTGTGTTATTTTTTTCACCTACATTATTAAACGAATTCTCAACCCACTTAATATTTGATAATTATCGGGGCCCATATTAAGATAACAAGTGGGTCTGAAAAAAAAGGACGACAGAAACGCATGACTGCTTCACTGCAGAAATAGTTAAGACGATGCGGATGTGACCGTATATTGGTGTAGGCATTATGGTATGACAGCATACTTTTAAAGTAAATCAATTTCTAAATTCAATTGTTTTCTACAATGTTTCTTCGTATTTTCATTAAATTCTCGATTTTTATCCATTGAAGTAACAAGTGCACTTACCTGGGGATTGGCGTCTAAGTCGCATTCAATTTCTACCACCTCGCCCCTAGCGGCTCTTAGCACTAAAGGCTGGTTTGATCTACACGTTGGGGAAACTAAGAAAAACAACTCTTATTAGTCACCAATACGATTCAGTTTGTCAATATATCCAATTAGTTCATTTAAGAAGATCTTAACTTAGAAGAGATTTGGAAAATTTCGAGATTTTGTTATCATGTCCTATGGTTCTTGTGACTCGAGGACTCATATACTAAATTTATTGGCTCTATATCTTTTTAGTCTCTGTTTAGTTTTTGGTCACTTGATAAATTAATGAGACTAGCACAAGATGAAGTACCTTATAGTATTTCCTTTAGTTTTCGCGAGCCGTAGGCATAAGTAAAACCCCTTTTAATCTTGTTTTAGCATTTTCGGTAAAATTTTCATTGTCAGCGGCGACTAAAGTACAATTCGTCGAAAATTTAATACTGTGGATCTTTCTGTTGTGCAAAGGCACCAAAGGTCACTTAAATACGTTTTTTTCAACAAGTAAAGAAATAAACAACACGGAATCGGAATCTTAACAGCAAGCTATAAAATTGAGTCTTATTACCTTAAATGGAAACTGTGTCTTAAATGTATGTTAGTTTCGCAAAATATGCTTTTTGCTGTTTTAATTTTTACTATGCCTTCATCGCGGGAGTCTTTTGCAGTGAATTTAGAACAACGGCGTAGTCGCATCGCTTGATACGAATGCACCGGTCGTCTTCTTAATCTTTAGGCCATGACGACTTTGCTTACACACTAAAATAATTGTTCACTGCAAACTCAGCTCTTCAATGGCATACTTATGTATTGATATAAAGTATATTCTGTCCATTTCTCTCACTGTCCCTTTCAATAATTCTATTTTTGCACGATCCAGTATCCTAACATTTGTTTTATATGTTAGCATCAAAAACCTTTTATATATAGTGATGTTTCTTTCACCACCCACAGACAAAAGACGAATGAGATACCAGACTTACACTTGACGTCCAGCATTAGGGGTTCACTGGACCCGTCGCCGAGGCTGTTCCTGGCCGAGCAAACGTAAGAACCAGCTGCTTTCCTGGATACCTTCTGCAGCACCAGACTCTGATTGGCCAGGAGGACGCCCGGCCCGGATTTTACTATCACACCCTGTTGATGAAACACCGAATACTTTCAAAACTGGTGGTAGGACCTCTTGTGAGTCCGCGCGGGTAGGTACCACCACCCTGCCTATTTCTGCCGTGAAGCAGTAACGCGTTTCGGTTTGAAAGGTAGGGCAGTTGTTGTAACTATACTGAGATCTTAGAACTTATATTCCAAGGTGGGTGGCGCATTTACGTTGTAGATGTCTATGGGCTCCAGTAACCACTTAACACCAAGTGGGCTGTGAGCTCGCTAAACCATGTAGGCAATAAAAAAAATAAAAATAAAACTCAAAATTTATATCTAATTTCATGTAATCTTCCTATTTATATCGGAATTAAAAGATAAATAATAATTATATGTTATACGTCGGTTGATCAACTTGACTGTGCTCCCGGAACAGTTGATGTCTATGGGCGACTGTAATCACTTACCGTCGGAGGATCTTTTGCTTCTCTGCGTTTTAAGGAAATAAAAACAAACAATAATCTCTCAGCATAGCCGCTTTGTGACTACTTAGCATTGCGTAGGCCGTGAGATAGTCTACAAAATTATGCTAATAAGAGAACATAAGAAAAACAGGAAGATCTAATGAAAGCTATTTATAATATAGTAAATTATTAACAAGGCTTTTATCCTGCTTAATTAATAGCGGAAACGTAGGTACGTGTTTCAAGCTAATCTCAAAATGGATCTTTCAAAAGAATGTAGACTACGACCCGGAATTGAATAGTATAATAGTTAGTCACCAATAGTCCATGAACAAAAGAATCTTAAACGGTGAGATAACATTTAATAAATAAACAAAAAACTAACAACATACGCTTTTATAGAAAATCCAACTAAAAAATAGAAAATAAATTTTAATAAATTTTAATTAAAAATAGTGTAAGAAAAAATGACTTTATTGTAAAAAAAGCGTGGTGAATTAGTATAAAAAGTTAATCCGACGTTTTGAAGAGGTCAAAATCATGTTCAAAGATTCCGTTACATACTAACATACATACGTCTGAAGCTAATAAAAGCGTATTAAAAAGAATACTTACGTTATGTGTGAAATAGACGTGGTTGTGCCAGGGATTCGCTCGCACTCTACAATCCAGATATATATCGGAGCCTTCCACTACTTTACTGGCGTCCAAGTTGGCACCCAATTCTAGCTTCACAACAGGAAGATCTGTCGAGCAATAAAAACTTCATTACCGTTGGTAATTTTAATTCTGTATATCTTGTTCAAGAAAATTTTGATTTATATTTTCTACGGTTTTCGTGCGTCTATAATCTTTTCTATTATATCTATTATAATCTATAATCATTTTTGTTCACACATCTGCAATGCTAAGGATGTCGATCCGTGAAACTATTGTATATTATATTGGTACTATTGTATAAATTTTCGCGACCAATTATAATGGAGCTGTGTGTGACGTTAGCAACGTGTGCGGTTGCTATTGGATAAGAATGTTGTTCCCTGACCCCACTATCCTATAAAACTGTAAGATTGCTGATTCAGAATACACACAGCAACTGGTATCACAAAAAATAACCATCGTTTAATTTTACCGAATACAGTCCTCAAGTCCAAAAGAAAATCAAAAGTCAAGTACGGCATATGTATTGACACTTTTTTTATTTTTTTATTGCTTTTTTATTGCCACTACAATTTTCTATATTAATTAAAACTACTTTTACGATTTATTCTCGCGTTTAAAGTTGTCATTATATTTTCGTTGTCACTTTTGTTCTTCTCTACAATACGCAGGTGAACGAATGGAAATTTCAGTGACTTATATCAATAGAACCGGACCCCATCAAATCGATCTTGGACCAACCTTATGACGATAAAATTGGAACAACAGCAACGGTTTCATATACATGTGTAGGTGAATATTCTTCAAATCTAAACACGTATATTTTCATATGTAAACAAAACTGTTTGTCAAAGATTTTTAGTGGCTATTAATGAAATGTGTCCTTAAAAAAAATGTCTTTAAATGACCATAAAAAGACAAATTAAGAAAATGTAATAAGCACATAATTATAAGTATAATAATATAATAAGTTCAAAAAAGAAGAGAAAAAATGTAAGAAGTACATAGTTTGAATCTAAATCATGATCTATTCGTGATTAGGGTCTAATTTGGATAATAGCGGTAATTGATATATTTAATTCAATTTGTGTCAATTGCAAAATTTCCTTAAAGTTTTGAAACTGGTCCAAGTTTAGCTTTCAATTCTATAAACGAAATTTATACTTATAAAGTTCTCAGAGACAAATAATCCTAAATACCTAGATTTTGAAGCACGCTTAGCGTTTGACTTTTGGCTCCATTTTAACAGAAAATCGAAGTTGGCTTCAAGTAAATGAATGTTTGGAGATCTAATAGGTAAGTTGTGGACGCAGATACCAGTTTTAAGGTCTCACTTTTACTAGTATACCGGCTGCCCCGCCCTTCAACCCGATACGAATTACTGCTTCACGGCTGAAATAGGCAGGGTGGTACAATAGTTGTCCTTCCCCTCAAACTGAAATGGACAACTGCCTCTTGGTACATATAAGGTAGGTAGCGACTTGGCTCTGCCTCTGGCATTGCTGAAGTCCATGAGCGACGGTAACACTCACCATCAGGTGGGCCGTATGCTCGTCTGCCTACAAGAGCAATAAAATAATATAGGATAGGAAAGGTGCTGATGCCTACCCTTGAACACTTACAATATGCCCTACCTTAATAATTACGGTACTATATTGTTATCAGTACTTACGTTGTATCTCCATTTTCCAACCATCTTCATGAGTCGAATGGGGTAAAGTGGGCTGAATTGCTCTGCAGGACAAAACCCTGCCGGCATCTTCTATCGAGGGCACGAAGGTCAAGACACTGCTGGTCACGTTGCCATCAGTCGAAGTCTAGATAAAAAAAATATCTTTAAAATTTGTTTCATAGGAAAGCTATGCTAATAGTTTCTGTAGATATCACATAGTTGTTAATCACTTCGATATAAATACATGTTTATACACGTATTTCTATACTAATATTATAAAGAGGAAAGATTTGTTTGTTTGTTTGTTTCGAATAGGCTCCGAAACTATTGGACCGATTTGAAAAATTCTTTTTCCATTAGAAGCCGACATTGTCCCTGATGAACATAGGCTACTTTTTTTTATATTTTTTTTATTTTATTTTTTTGGTTGCATGTGTGTTTTAATGTTTCCGAAGCGAAGCGAGGGCGGGTCGCTAGTATTGTAATATATCACAATCCCGCCCATTTGGAGTTACACTTTGAAGGATGCGACAGTCTTTATAGAAGAAAACAATTAATATTTCGACCTCACGTCTGGAGTTCAGTATGGCGTCAATGGGGTTCTAGTAAACATCCAACGCCAGATGTGAGAGCTCGTCCACATATCGAAAGTAGCCCAAATGACAATTGCCAACCGTACCATACATACGTTATCGCACGCACTAAGCGATGTATTTCCCATTCCTCCAACGAGACGTTGTCAGGCCGTGTCAATTGTATTGTCAATTGGAATGTCTGGCCAATATCGTTAGTTAATAGTCAATGGTTCAATTTTGCGCTACCTCCAGAGAACCTCTAGAGATTTCTAGTTGTTTTGTTAGTGGTAAATTAAAAATCAGTAGTCAAAATTCGACCGTATGACTTTAATGTTTTAAGTTTATAATTTAAGTTTGTGTTTAAGTAAGAATGTTAATATTTTAAGTTTTAAGTGTGAACATGATTGAAGATACGCCCTTTAAATCCTAATACATATGCAGTTTGAGTTAAATACATAGAATGCATGCGTGCATAGTATCTTTCGCTTTTTTATTTTTTCCTACCTATGCTGATAGCCTTGAGAGGCTATTGCAGCTCCGCCCTAACATGTAGGGGAGCTTAGGGGGCTTAAACCGGAGTGTTGCTAACACTGGCCCTAGCAAGAGCAATGTTTCGCAGAATCTACCACCGGGTTGGAAACGCGACCCACTGAGAAGATCCGGCGAGAAACTCAGTGGGCTGTGTCTATGGGTGAAATCGCTCGTCGACGAGTACAAGCGACAAGTTCGACGAGGACGGTGATCGGTGCTTGTGGTACCTAAAAGCACCGTTAATGGATCGGGAGGATCAATAATGACGTGTTATGGGCGACGTTGACTATTTATTCGGTCTACAGGATCGGGTATGTAATTCCCAGCGGCCGCGACAAAAGAGTTCTCATGTTGTGCCGCCTTCTGAATCTTTCGCTACGCGCAATGTACTGGCAACAACACACATTGCGTAAATGGCGCGTTGATTTGTTATAGTATGACGGATTTCTTCAAATCGGAAAGTATTTCTGCTTCTTGAAAAAGAGCTCTCCCTCTCCCGTTCCGCTCTACCTCCAATATACCTCGAAGTCCATATTAAATTGAAAACCCACTTTTGCTTCACAGACAACATGCTCTATCAACATAAATCAGAGTGATTGTGATCTTCAAAGCCGCAGTTAGACCGACCATGTCTCTCTAAATAAATATTTAAGGTTCTTAAAGATGACTTGAGGATTTTATCGATATTATTTAACCAAATTAGATCCAGGATCGTCACGGATGCTCTGAAAAACACTTCCAAAGCTCACGACTCTTTTATTCACCCAGCCAATGAAAAAGAGTTCATAATTACCAATTCTGTCCAGTTTATAACTCAATGTATCTTTCAACCTTGCTTCGATTAGTTTTTCCTCTTTAAACATTGTATCAGAAAGACCTTGTAAACATACAAATTCTTTCTAAAGTCAACATGTTTGTACGTCTGTTTCCGATCAAACAAGAGAACAAAGTGAGCCAATGCATTGTTGCAACTAAAAATAGTTTTATGGCTCCGTCTGCGTATTGCGCGCTGTTAAGGTCGGTTTAGATGCGGGCAGGGCTGCCGGTAATTATTCTGTTCTGATGTATTTCAGCCGCGAAGCGGTCGTACGTCAGTTCCGAGTGTGGCACAGCCTTTACTTAAAACAGTTGGAACTTTAACTCGTGTATTAAGATGGGCAGCATGTCCTTACGGATCCATCAGATCTAAAAACTCTTGCATTAGATGCTTTCAGCTCTAACACTAGGAGCAGACTTAGGGACCCCGGTAACCGTACTCGTTAAACTCGGCAAAGAGTTCGACGTGCAACCTAACCCATGCATCAGCCCGCTGAGTTTCTCATCGGATCCACTCAGCGGGTCGCGATTCCGATCTGGCAGTAGATTCATTCGCGAAGCAGCTGCTCTTGATTTGTTAGGTCTCCTTTGGAGGCGCTCGGGCAGCTATTAGCAAATACCGCCTCCTGGCTGAGCCTTTGCTCGCCCACCTGTCCTCGTGAAAATGGAAAGGCCTCCGAGCCACCAGTAATGCATCAATAATTAAAAAGAAGATGGATTTAATAAACTTAGTATCAGGCAAGCTATCGGTTTGTAAATTTTTCAATTTAAACATTATTCATCCGCGTCTATACAATCCTTAACACAAACTAGACGTCTTGTATTCCTTGTTCGATCTAAACGCAAAGTTTACTTAGCGTACAAACTTCATCGACATTTATTAGTATGAGGTATAATAGCGTGAACGCGGGTACCTGGCGAATCTGATATTAATACTCATTAAAACGCCGTGCAAGTTAAATCTAGAGCTTGCTGCGTCGTAACATTGAGTAACCAAACTAAAATGTAACGTCAAATTTTTGCTTCTCAGTTTTCAGAATGGTTCTCCATGATATATTTATTATTTCTTGCATAACGACATCCAATTTCACTAAATGAATGAATCATTTAATGAATATAAATCAGTAAATGGGAACAAATCACGTACGGTCGTCCGGTCCCAATTTAGGATTACCTGTGTTGTGGGTACTTGAGACTGATAATACATACTTTTAGCGTTTAAATATATACTAGATAATGACCTAGACCTAGGCCTAGAGAATGACTAGATATACTAGATTTTTTTTTGTGTTTTTAGAAATTATATTTAAATACGAATAACATATTGATAAAATGATGAAATATGAATAATATTTTTCGATCTAACCGACAGAATAAATAAAAATGAACTGGTTATTTAAAGAAAAAATCTAAATTATCGAGAAAGTTGGTTATTGAAAACCCGAATAAAACAACAATTTCTGAAAATAAATCGTAGCTAGATCGATTTATCGCCCCCGAAATCCCCTGTATACTAAATTTTATGAAAATCGTTGGAGCCGTTTCCGCGATTCAGATTATATATATTATATATATATTTTTTTATATAGAATAATTGCTCGTTAAAAGATGTATAATATGTAGATAGTGGACGCACAGATAAAGAACAGATAAACCTGTTAATCACACAATGTTTGCCCGATGTGAGAATCGAATTCTCGACCCTCGGCGCAACAGTTAGGGGCGCTACCTTTAATTACCTCCATAACGAAGGAATAAAGTTGTTTTAATAAAATTCCAATAATTAAATATGTACATTTAATTTCAAGAATTACTGGTGGTACTAAGCTCGCCGTAGATACCACCATCCCGCGTATTTCTGTTGCCGTAATCACGAATTTCGGTATGAATAGCAGTAGCGCAGGCGGCGGACCAGTGTGCTTAGTGCGAGTTTTTTAACGTTCTCGATTGCGTGAAAGTTAACTCAAATTTGTATAGTTAAATTAATTGAAATTCGGAAACATCATGACATCGTTCTTCGGTCAGATATAATATCTTCAGCAGAGATGGAAGAAACTCCGGTCAAGAGCCCGGACCTCGTGGTGTGTCAGAATCAGCGATTGTACCCGGATGAGAGGCGGTCACAGCTGTAGGATATTGTTGTTTTAATTACTGAGCAATATTGAGAAGGGTAAATGTTAATAATTTCTAGATGGTTCTATTTTTTTTTTTTAGTTAGCAGATTGCGTAATGTCCTTTTTAATTGTGAATGTTTACAGTCGTTGGTTAACGGCGATATTTAGTTTTGATCCCCTGCGTAAACTTAAGTAATTTTAATATTAAAAAATAAAATTACTGGTACTGACGGTAGGACTTGGCTTGACTAGGCCTTGGGAATCCGCACGAGTAGGTACCGCCACCCTGTCTATTTCAAACGTGAAGCAGTGATACGTTTCGGTTTGAAGGACGGGGCAGCCGTTAGAACTTATGTCTCAAGGTGGCTGGCGGCATTTACGTTGTAGATGTCTATGGGCTCCCATAACTACTTAACACCAGGTGGGCCATGAGCTCGTCCACCCATCTAAGCAATAAAAATAAACAACTTACCGCTTCTCGTACAGTCTTCAGTCTTGTTCCGCCCCTCCACCATGATATTGTGGGCTTCGGTCTGGCTCCAACGGCTTGGCATACCAGTTCTGTGCTCTGACCTGCGACTAAAGGCCTTTTTCCACCCTGCAGACGAACCCACAGCGGGCGCACTGTAATAGAACACACATTGTCAAGAAGGTTGACCAGTAATATTTATTTACTTTACCATTAATAAAATTCCTTGAAAAGGCAAATTCATGAATATAGCGCCTGCTAGCTTCAGAATAAAGTTCTGTTCTCAATTGTACTCTGCAATGGTAGCTTACTCTTTGGACTAGAAGTAATGACTGCACCGCGGCAGAAATTGACAGCTGGTTGTGAGCACCACGGAGCTAAGGTGGCTCATACCAAGCGCTACCAGGTAAATATGGAAATATGTAAATGTCGTGGGTTCGATTATCGAATATCGATATAGTGGCATCGAAGCCTCACAAACACTTATTAATCAGGTTCTTAGCATGATTTATAGTTTTATTGAGTTCCCAATATTCCGCGTTGCAAGAACCATGAGGACGGGCAGACTGCAAACTGCGGGTAGAGTATTAGACGCAGTAAATTCTGTCTACCCTCTAGTCCGTTTTCCGACGTTACCACTGGATATGGAGGGTAGACTAAATTGTGTTAATAGTTAATTGTATAAATGAAAAGTGTCCGTCGAAATATATTAAATTAGAATGGCGCCACATTAGCCTCACCGTAAACTTTAATGGAAGCGCCATATATTATTTGAGTAGGTTTGAGAAGTATTACCCGTAACTGCTCTGTTATTTAGATACTTTATTATAAAATGAAATTAGTTAATCAATAATCGTACCATTCCCAGTTTACGAATAAAATCACTCTTGGTGTACGTTTTCTTGTAGTATTTTCTTTAAGGCTATATTTACTGCATTATTTTATATAGTTGTTAAAATTTTCAATAGTTAACTATTTTAGTCGAAATTATATAACAAAAAAATAACTCGACATAATATTTTGTTCATCTACAATTGCTACATTCATGCCATACCCTTTGTCAACACCAGCGCGATTGTGACAGGTTTTTGAACTGTTATTTATAGCATACAGCTGGAAACTTTTTTAAACTTTTCTCCCATATAAGATAATTCTCCTTTTTAGGGTCGATTCGACCAAACAAGAGTAAATCTTATTCTTAGAATAACTCGTCAGTTAATCGAGAGTAAATCCATGTTACGTTTTACCATCTACAATTCTAAGAATAGTGGGCCTATTCGGGAATTGTTACTATACCACCGTTTCGCACGGAATAACGGAGCTATTCCTAGAATAAAGTAATGGCGTCAGTCAGTCCAATCATCTGATTTCTGTCATTTCATAAATATTTATTCTGTTTTAATTTCAAGTCAACGCAATGCACTAAATTATTATTAATAGTCTGGCATTGTGTAATGCAACGTTTAAACGAAAAAAGCTAAAACCACACGACAAAACTTGACAATTCTCTCAAACAAACAACAAATAAAATTAATACGTTTGACAGCTAGATATCTTGATAATGTATCGAACTGTTTATTTGTTTTTTGATGTACAATAAAGAATACTCTCTCTCTCTCTCTATCTTACACTACAGCTACTTTTTCACACTAAAATACGGCAAAATCGAGTTGACTCTATGTATGTCCTTACACTATGCCGTTACACAACAACATTTATTTGCCGGATTTTATTTTTGTTCACCATTCACTATGCTATTCGCGTATTGTTATTCCTAGCGCAAGTATACTATCGTTTACGTGGAAAAACTCGTGTATAAATTTAAGTTTGGTCGAATCCACCCTTAGTCACCCTAATACTGGATTATTCTCATAACAACCATCGCTATCATTCCGGTTGAATTCACCATTTCGCTATTTCAATTATTTCTTTGACCGGTCTGTGTATATAGTGGCTTTCAGTTGATGAGAATATAATCATACTGTTACGGGCTGGGGTTCGGGATAAATAAAATTTCACCAAAGTACAACTTAAAAACTGTATTCAACACTTATAAGACTTCATAAACACTTTAAAACACTCAATTCGCTCGTTCCGCTTCGCTTCAGGTGATCCGCTCGCTGTTTCGCTTCGAGTAGTTCTAATTATTGACTGACTGCATGCCATCCCTACAACGCTTTTATAGCCGATACCGCATCCCTATAATAATCGAGAATATTCCACACCTCTCTAGTAGTAGTTTCCGGTATCTGACAATAGATGGCGTTGTACTCCTCGAGCGTTTCTAGGTTCGATATTCGTTCGACTATTCGGCGATAGATGGCGTTACTCTTACCGGCGTAACAATACAATCCCTAATACCAGTCAACCGACGTATAATAAATAAACTTCAATTAAACTGTTCTCACGCCGATTAAGAGTCTAATTCGAAAATCAGATACTGACTGAACTACCGGACCGTGTGTGTTCGTAGCAAATTGAATTTTAATGACTTTAAAAAAATGTTAATTTTCCTTTCGGCGGGGGAGCATTGAATTAATATCTGGCATAAGCCTTGTTCGACGCTGATCAATCTGTGAATGAATTCGAATTTGACGGGCCGGTGATCAATGGTATTTTGACGAAGGGTTTTTAATTGAATGATACATATTTTATTTTCGTTAATTCGATAAATTAGAAATTATTTTTACGTTTATTTTATTTTTTCGTGTAAAGTGCAGACGAGCTGAATTATGTTAACATGGGGCCTATAAAACAACGTCGATTTCGTGACCCATCTTGAGACATGAGGTCGACCTTAAAGGAGCATATTTAGACAAACAAAAAATCTACAGGTTATTAATAAGCTAGCGAACGTAACTTACGTCCGTGTGACGTCATTTGTGGTTAACTAAAGTGCCATTTACTCGTAGATTAATCGTGACGTGTAAATTATCAGATACTATTAATTTAATTATTTAAAATAAATTACATTCGAAAAAATTGGGCTCGAATGATCGTTGCAATTTGATTTGGTACTGTTTGTCGTAAAAATAAGTCTGATAAGTCGTATCTAGCGATGCAACTATGCTGGTCTTTAAAAACCGCGGGCAGGACAAATTTTTACACACACACAGGTATAACATCGTGTAATGAAAAAATAGAACACGTAAAATATCAATTATAGCAGCTATAACTGCTTTTGATGATTAAACGGTAGCGGTAGGCAGCGGCTTGGCTCTGCCCCTGGCATTGCTGAAGTCCATGGGCGACGGTAACCACTCACCATGAGGTGGGCCGTATGCTCGGCTGCCTACAGGGGCAATAAAAAAAAACGAATTTAAAAATAAACTAATTAAAATAAAATTAATAAAACTAATTTTTGATGGCAATGAGTCAGTTCGGGTAGTTACCGCCATCCTTCCACAACAGAAATAGGTAGGCCAGTGAATTCTCTGCAAAACCTTATAACCCAACAAAATATTCCTAGTTAATATAGAACAAAATAATTATTAATTACGAAATACACACCAAAAAAAGGAAAAAAAAAATTAATCAGTTGTACTAATAAAAAAAAAAAAAAACAAAAAAACAGAAGAATAAATTCACCTTTCACGACCGCTTTCACTTCCTGGGCCATTATGATTCTACAATACCCTTTGCTTGGTTAACAAAAGGGTCAAACCGAACTATTCAACCCTGCCCGAGCCCTTTTTTAGACCACTTAAGACAATTAAGCAGTTTTTTTTTTGTTTGGAACACCCTTTATAGGGCACCTCGGGCTTTTAGGTAAAACTCTTTCGAGGCTGTTTACGAATAAAAATAAAAGGGTTAAGGGCACTTTATAAACGCTCCTTTGATAATTGTAATCAAGGAAAAACTGAAGGGCTTGGCTAACGCGTTTGTGACTTATTCGACTTATACCTCAGGGATTTTTGATACTTACATAAAACAAAAAAGGGCGTCTCGGCTTGAAATAATCTAAATTGAACTATTTAATATTGAATTTGTTTAACTTCAGAAGAGCTTAGAGGTTATTATTTAAATTTAAGTTTAATAATATGATAATGTAAGAAAAATTGAATAATAATAGTTGTAACATAATTGAAAAAAATACATAAATCGTTTTTTAAAATTTTTTTTATTGCTTAGGTGGATGGACGAGCTCACAGCCCACCTGGTGTTAAGTGGTTACTGGAGCCCATAGACATCTACAACGTAAATGCGCCACCCACCTTGAGATATAAGTTCTATGATCTCAGTATAGTTACAACGGCTGCCCCACCCTTCAAACCGAAACGCATCACTGCTTCACGGCAGAAATAGGCAGGGTGGTGGTACCTACCCGCGCGGACTCACAAGAGGTCCTACCACCAGTAACCACTAACCAGTGAGTTAGGGGTTACATACGTTATCAGTACCGCTGTCTTATCCTTTAGGCCGCGATGAATTCATATCTAATTTATAAAATGATTTAAAAAATATATAAAACAGAGAGTGATATATAAAGAACTATTTATCACGACAAAATCCAAAAGTAGATACTTCTATCTTCATTACGAAGTTAGCGCTTGCTGCCCTTGTCAAGCCGTGGAGCGCGTTTAGTATTAAAATGAAGAAAAATAAATCTAGGCGTCCAATATGAATTACAAATTCAAATATGGACGAAAACTGGTAGTACCTACCTGTTTCACCCGTGAAGCAGTAATGCGTTTCGGTTTGAAGGTAAGGCAGATGTTGTAGAGATTTTAGAACTCATATTTAATGGGTGGCGGCATTTACGTTATAGATGTCTATGGGCTCCGGTAATCAATTAACACCAGGTGTCAGGAACAATCACGCCACGTTAACTGGTCCCGTGATAAGTTCGTAAAGAACTTGTGTTACAGGTACCAGATAACGGAAATAAATGTAAGATTTTTATTATACACATACATATATTTAATATACATCCATAACCCTGGAAACGACATTTATATTTATCATACAAATATCTTGGCGGGATTCGAACCCGCGACCCCCTTGCGTAGTGACCATGTCACTTACCACTACACCAGACGGCCGTTAAAATTAACAATAGTACCCTTTAATTTAAACCGTTTCAAAAGTTTAATAGAATTTAATGCAGAACCTCTTTATGAAAAAAAGCGAACGCTTGCCTTCCCTAAACTAATGC